AGATGAGAATATAATGCACAAACTCCCTCCTGGCCTTGCGTGCCTCAACGGGCAGTTTTCATTTCAATAATCAAAAGATCTCTGTCTTCCATGCTGAATTTAGAAGTTCTCAAATTATCTTCCGTTATTTTTAGGAGTCAGATTTTCATTTAAATGCAAGAAAAGAACATAATTTTAATTAAAAAGAAAAAAAAAAAAAAGGAAAAGTAAATTTAATTTTACCTATATGGTAATATAGCTTTTAAAAAAAAAATCTTTAAGGAGGCCAAGTCCACTCATTTCACCATTTCAGGTGAATTTATCAAGTGCTTATCTAATACTTTAAACACGTTTTTTAACTCTGAAAAATAGGAGCAGAATAGAGAGAGGAGATACTGAGAGCCACAAATACAACAGCACACACTGTCCTTTCCCAAGTATTTCAGTTAGGTAAGTATTTCTACAGCATTTTAGTCACAAAAAAAGAACACTTCAAAAATTCCCATCTTATATGTCAGGAAATAGAGGTGGAGATATAAAATGAATTTCCAAAGAAGGTAGGAAGCAAATAACAGGGCCCTCACTAGAAACCAGCAACTGTAAATTCCAATGCAGCCAAAGCATGGGATATTTGACTGCCCTGTCAGCAAGGGTAAAGGCTGCATGGACAACTCAGACCACACTGTTTTCTGATGTCTGCAGCAAAATAAACAGCCAGTAGATACAGAGTGGGATTTAGCTCCTAAATTTAGGTCTCTAGTAGAGGAGGGTCCCTCTGAATTCAGCAAAGAGAAACAGTCATCTGCAGGATGTGATTCACCTGTCCTGCTTCAGATGCCAGCTACTCAGACAGCATGATGTCTGCAGTGGTCAGATGAAAACCACTCATAGTGTCATATTTTAAATCTCTCTGGTTAAGAAAAGAGAACTGGAATAAAAGCAAATCTCAAGATGTGACGGCTCCCAAGGTTGGGATAATTCAAATCCAGGATGAAATTTTCCAGTTCACTCCCTTGAGAAAAAAATTTAGTCCATGTAAAAGCCTGTGTTCCATTTTCATAGCTCCTGGAAGCCTACATTTCACTGGCTTTTGATACAGATTTATCTCCCAGATGCTACTTGATAGTTCTGCAAACTTTATCCTATGAGAAAGCTTTTTACTCTATGGCACTTCTGGGATGTAATTCTGCCACCCTGTAGAGCCAGAAGAGTGAGGTATCTACTGCTGGGAGATGAGCCTCAATTCCTCAGTCAGGACTCTCGCCTCCTATGCAGTCCTGGGGGCATAAGAGTGGAGTGCCTGAAACTGTCTTTGCCCTTTTCTCCCTGTAAAATGAGGGAAGTATAAACACTCCACATGAAGTCTGCATGTCTCCACACTTGCAACAAGATAAAACTTAGATCCAAACTCTGAAGTTTAATCTTAGTTCCTTGTGTTCTTACAACATCTTTTGGATGCTTAAAATAAACTGGAAATCTACCATCTCCAGCATCTCCTGCATTTGTGTGACAGCCTAAACCTATCCGAACCCCTCACTGAAGGTTTCTGAGTCCCCTCCCTCCCAGTGTGCCTGAGCTGCACACAGCAGACCTCCCCCAGCCCAGGCTGCTGTGCTCCCCTGCTCCCCAGACAGGTCAAACAAACAGGCAGATTCCTCCAGGGAAGTCGCAGGTTCAAGACCACAGAGGACATGCCTCGTTTGGGCCAGTTAGAGGGTTTTCTTGCTATTGTGCTTATCTGTGCCTTCACTGTCATGCAGACGTTAACCTCTGACCCGTGAGCCCGCCTCTCCAAAAAGCCTTGCAGTGTTTACCTATTATGTAATGTCTGTGCTTTTGTGGAAACTGTACAGAAACAAATGCAGGAAGTTTGCCAGTCAAATGGCTGGACAATAAATCCTGTCCCCTGCAGATAGAACGGTTTACTGTCACTGTAAGGCTGCTACTGGCATCTGTCACTGAAAAATGTTTACAAATTTCAGTGTACTGAAGTGCCAAAGTATTCCAGCATTGCAGGACTGTACATGATTTGTAGAACCACTACCAGTGTGGTGGACAGGGGTAGCCTTGTTTTGCTAGCCTGAGTAAACAGAGTGACAATGCTTCAGAAAACTCAAGGTCACTAATGTCCAGTTTTTCTGTCTGTTCATCTCCTAGGTTCATGAAACAAGTGCCCAGATGCTAGCTGGGTCATTGGAATGCTTCTTCTGCCTTCAGATATGTGTGCTAGAAGTTTAATTCCAGACAGGCAAACTGCCTTCAGACCCATTTGCTTATTTCTCATGGGTCCTTTATTATTTATACACTCTGTCTTCCCATCTTCTCTAACAATCCACCCTCTTCACAGTCCCAGCTTCCCATACCCATACTCTTTCTGCACTACTTCCCCCTGGTACTTTGTTACCTTTCTACACAGTGTCATGGCAATGCCTTCTGCTGTGTGACTGGGGCTTCTGTGTACCATCAACTGTAAACTCAGAACAAGGTAAAGATGAGTTTGGGTAAGAAGCAGAAACAAACATAATCTGAAACAGTGGGACAGATAGGTAATAAAATTCTGCCTTTGCTAACTCTGTCAACCAAGGTCCTGATTTTGCTGCCACTTGAATGGAGCTTTTCACTCTCAAAGTCAATGGGAGCAGCACTCAGTCTTTAGAGTTCTGCTGTAATTAAGCTTTCAAATCTCATTTCCTTTCAGAGGAGAGAAAACATTGTTGTGACTAAGCTTTGGATGTGGTAACAAATCCCTGGCAGGTTGGTTTGTTTTAACGGACGTATTAGTTTTAAGGAAACTTTTACCATCTTTTCTGCCCTTAATCACAGCTTTTATTACAATTACAGTAATGCAACACATGTACATGCCAAAGGCAATATGTGTATTTTTAATGAGTTGACATGCAACTTTCCTGGAAAGGAGAAACAACTTCATTTTCTGAACGCTCCTGAACCATATCTAGAAGCTTATTAAGGGGCCAGGAATCAATCAGAAAAACATTTACCACAAATTCAGAGACTTCAGTAACTCAAAAGATGAGCAGTCCCCTGAGACAGACTGAGTTGTTGTGCTAGGTTTAGCAAATATTTGCTGAATGGTTATGTTTCCTATTGTCCACAAACAATACAAGAGAAGGTTAACAGGCAATATCCGGAAAGCTCTAAGATTATTAACCCACATATGTGGTCCTGAGTCACTGGGCTTTGAAACATCATTAGTTCCCAAAGAAGAAACCAAAGGGGAATTCTGCTTGAGAGTGATGATATCACAAGCCCAAAGGAACTACTTGCATCAATAAGGTCTATTTATGCAAAGTTTTACAAGACATTGGCTCACAGGGGTTTTCATTCTGGTGCAATGAATTCAGTTAATAAACTGAGGATAGGCAGAGATCACATCCTATGAGTACAAAAGCCCTCAGCCTGGTTTCTAGCCTCAATTTACCTTACAGCTTGGACACAGATCAGAAACTGGTGCACACAGAAAATTACAACAGACAGACACACACAGACTAAGCAAGGCTCATTCACCTGGGGACTAAACCTCTTGGAGCACCAGACTCCAACAGCAGCAGACAAAATTCATTCAGTTAAATTGTTCCTGCCACTGCTGTGGTCTGGGCCAAGCAGCCTTCACAAACAGTTGCTTTCACAAAAAGTTGTCACACTTTTTCTGGAGGGTAATGCAGGCCAAGGACCATTTCCAATATAACCCTGGATATGGATAAACCTGTTTTGAGAGGTAAAAGTTTATCTATGGGGACCAGAGAAGGGTTCCTGCCTTGTGGAGAAGTGACCCCACAGACCTTCACATACCTTTCACTGAGACCAAATTATCAAAGGGAGAAGCCTGAAAGCCTAGTGTGCCTATGACTCCATGCTTGCTTTCTCCTCAGTCATCATAAAACTGCCATAAATTCAGAGGAACTTGGGCCACAAACCATAGGACTCCTATCAGAAACTTGTACTGCAGCAGAGCCACTGTTAGTATGCCGGGTTCATACAACCCAAATGGGGCTGCCTAGGTCTGGCAGTAAGATCCCTCTCTGCCCATCCTGCTTTCAGTCTGTGTCCAGTCCTACAGCAAGCCTCCAACACAGGCCAACACGTCCTCAGCTGTCTGTGAAAGGTGCAGGACCTCGCTGCAACCCCAGTTACTCTGGCACATCTGTTTGGATGGTTAGTAGGTAAAATTTAACTGATAGAAGACAGAGCACAACTGGAAATGTAGGAATGTGTTTTTACTACTATTAACACAATCAAAACTTCCTTCTTGCTATTATTACTGTGTTAGCACATCAATTCTATTCCAAATTGTTTTCAACTGCTAACTTACCAAAATACCTGGAGAATAGCACAGTCCATGTTCTGGTTTTCATTCTAAACTTAACATAATTTATCTGAAATTACTCCCTTTCTTAAAGCTGTTTCTTGTGCTAGAATGTGCAAAATATGCCTACAATATGCACTGGAAGAACATTAATTTTCTCTCTTTCTCCATATGTCCAAAAAACTGCTGAAATTCTTCTGTGCATGAAGTAACTTCTGTATGTCTTTGTAGGCTGAAAGCCTTTTTTTGAATTTACTAGTATTCTAATGCAGATGACAAAACCTATACAGCTGATTAAACCCTAGCTTTAAAAAAATAGATGCAAAGAACCCTTTGTGAAACTGATGACTGATTTATTATCACCGTTCAAATATGAATGAAATACAAAAAGTAAGCAGACACAAGCAGCATAAACTAGATTGTAAAACAGAGGTTTAGTAACATCGGATACTGTAAAGTCAATTTTCTTAAAAAATATATATCCTCAGGGAAAATATCTTGTTTCTTATTTTCTCCTTTTCTTTTTTTTTAATTGACTCATTTGAGATTTTCCTGACCCAGGTCTTAATTCAAGAAGAGATTAGACCTGTCCTTCAAAGCTTGTTCATGCTTTTGTACTAAGCTTTTGCCCACATCAACGTTTACTAAATGAGAACACACAAAAGCTGACGTAACAAGGACAGAGACAGGTGCTCACCGATGCAGTCCACGCTGAAGAGGTTTACGGAGGTTGTTATGGAAGACTCATCACAGGTCTTCATCCCTCGCAGAGCGAACCGCACCAGGGAGGCCTTGACTCCCTCTGGCAGGAAGGAGAGCAGGTAGACGGGCATGTAGAGAGCGTAGCGCAGCCGGCAGAGCAGCGGGGTCAGGAGCTTCCCCTGGGGGGACTGAGCCATGCGCTCGATGGTCGGGAACAGCAGCACGGAGCGCAGAACCTGCCGGCCCACCACAAAACCACCGTCAGCCAAGCCCTGCAGCACCACATCCCAGCCCAGGAGACCTCCCTTGGCACTGAGCCCCCACCTGAACCCAAGCTGGCTTTCCAGGAGCCTTGCACCCCAGGCGTGCGGGCAGGCTTTGCAGCACCCCACGGTAAACTTCTCCAAAGAGAAAGCAAACAGGAGCCTGGTTCTGCCAGGAGAGCAGAGGAGCAGAGCCCCATCACCTGCTCCGGGCCAGGACCCCAGCAGAGGGCAGCAGGCAGGAACCAGCATCCCAGCCCAGGCCTGGGTTTATGGCAGCAAAAGGACATCGCCCTTCATTTCATCTGGCAAACTATTTTCTCTAAGTAAACCAACCAAGCAGATTAAAAAATATCAGCCACTGTGATGGTAACTTTACAGTTTGACGAGACACGGGAGGTTTCGATTTGCAGTTCAATCTAAGTTGGTCAGAACAAGAGTCTCAGGACACAGCCCCTTCACTACAGTGGTCCATATTATTGCCTTTTATATGTAATAATGACATAGAAATATTCTAAAGCAGGTTATTATTTTATGTTATGATAATGCAATACACTGTAGCCTTCAAAGAGAATGAAAATAATTAAAAACCCACCCACACTAACCAAAATTGAATGAATATGCCTCCTCTCCATTACATTTCAATGTTAAGATGATTCTAAAAGAATAACTGCCACTTTTTTTCCTGGAAGTAAAAACATATTGCAAGAATTCATATAGGAAAAAAACTTAAAGACACACAACTACAATACCTAACAGAAGTATCAAGAAAGTAATATGAGGAATTCTGGATATTGCATTTGCAGATAATCAGGCATAAATTGCTGTGCTTTGCTGGTGAAATAAAATAGCTGTAGTTATTTATGTCTGCTTACTGCACATTTTGTTCTATGTATTAGGCAAATTAGACTAATTTTTTTATTTTTTTTTTTAAAAAATTAAATAATTGTCTTTACTCTCAGGTGAGACTCAGCTAATGTCTGCCACTGCATCTGTGTATAGCACCACTGGTCTCAGCAGCTACTCAGTGGAAGGCAAGGCTTGCCACCACACTATGCTTACAAGATCTGGGCATTGTAACAGAGCAAGCAGAAGAAAATCAGGAAATATCAGTAACTTGCCATTCTGCACTTTCTACAGTATTTTAAAAGCAGACTTTGAAAGTGCTATTTATATCGAATACAGAACTATTTTAAGAGATCTTTCTACTTTCCAGCTGATACTACTTTGGTTTTAGACAAAGAAAAATACATTCTCAGGGAAGTCAATCCTGGGCCTCTTTTTATTAAAGGCAACCAGCAGCTGAAGTATAGGAATGCAAGACTTGTACTAAATTATATGGTAGTTTTGTGATATTTCAGCTAGGAGCTGAACTCAAACTATTGTGATCTAAAGCAGATTTGACCTGCATTCCCAGGCACACATTAATCCTTTGACATTACAGTTTATAGATACAGGATTAGTTGCTTGGAGTGCTGTACTAACCACTGGGGGAAGTTGCTAAACCTTGGAAGAAAAAGGACAAACCAGGAAAGCCATTACAATGCCCTGCACATTCCTGCATTATTTAATGGCACACAAATTTAAAAGATGGTGCTAAGATGAAGGATAATTTTATTTAATTTCTTTCCTTTTTGAATCCTCTGCAGACAATAACAGAGAAATGTAAAGTTTGTAGTTCTCTAAATGATTATCAGCTAGTTCTTAGTTTACTGCTAGATTCCTGAGCCAGGATTTTGAAACATGCATTCGACTGACTGTAGCATTGCTTAAAAGATGTAGTTCAACTGATTTGCAAAATCACTGATACAGCAGATTTAATGTACTTTATTAAAGGACACACATATTCTTAAAAAAGTATGTCATATTTGTGTCTTGAAATAAGTGAAGTAGAAATGTACGGGTAAAACGAAGGAAATCAATGAGATTCACATGCTCAATTTCAATTAATATTTTTTTAACTTTTTAAATGCTACAATCTTATCTATATGCAATTTGCAGATGGAGGACGTTCCCTATAACAAGCACCAGGTATTGCCACATCTACCAATGCCATGGTACTTATCATTAAGTAATGTGTAAAGGTTAATGACCCCTTTATTTATGGAAACTCTTTTCATACTTAATGATAGAAGTTTCTTGTGGTAGCTATCAGTCAAAATACAAAAAATACTACACATTACTGAAGAGAGAAATCCAGATTCACCTGGTTTAAAATACCCCAAATTCAAAGTCCAATGATTTTTATCGGTTAAGCACATGAGAAGGCAGAGAGCTGGGCAACTAGAGGCATTAGCAACAGAGACTCAAGCAGATCTGAGGACTGCTGAGAGCTGGCCAGTGAATTTGCTGAAGACAAACATGCCTTGTGCCCAGGAGCCACTGACAGCTGGGGTTGTACCACCTACCCTCGCTCTGCCTTGGTCAACCCGCTAAAAATAGTGTGTGTATTCTTACATTATACTGGAATTGTCACAGTTGATTGTTGTGACAATAAACAGTGTTTGTAAAACTGTCATTCAACTTATTTGAGTTATTTATTTAACATGCTATTAAATTGCAAGATTTCAACACTCGGGATGACGCATACATTGAAGTTCAATGTGTAAGGCAGAGATGCTCTTTGGGTTAGTCACCAGGCAGCTGCTTCTATTTTCACCATTAGTTTTTAACTCTTTGCCTTACAGAGCGCTCAAGACCTGAATGGTTCAAGGGGCTATAGTATGGTGCAGTATCTCAGAAGTTTTGGATCTTGCTAACAAAAGGCTAATACTATCCACAAGCTCTGCATGTAATTTGATGTGGATGCCAAGGCAGGTCCTAGTCCCTAGTCAAGCAGTATCACTGCAAAAATGAATGGCCTGAGCACGTGTCCAGGGAACAAACGACCCTAGAAGCCCAATATGTTCTGCCCTTTATTCCTTCAACACACCGCAGTAGGAAGGTGTGGGGACTTCTGGAGTTTCACTTTTATCACTGTTAATATACTTTGGTACTAGAGCGATTGGTCCATCACCTTCAGGTATGTATGCCCTCTACAGTAAATTCTACAACACGGAGGAGAAACTACTTATTTCACAGGAACAATGAGCCCTCAAAGCAAAAAATATTCAATGCCCATTCCCCAAAAGCATGGCACTGACCAAGGAGCATTCAGGCAGGATCTCTCCATGAATATGATTCACTTCACGTGATCACTGCCTCACACAAATACTAAAGAACAAAACAAAGACTTCCTCCAAACTACTGACATAAAGGATGTACACATTCCTGTACATCTGGGCTTTCTATTCAGCTTTTAATCTACTGAAAAGAAGATGACAAGGTGACAGCGGAGTACCTTTAAGACTTTGCTGGACAATGGTTATGTCAACATGTTTTTTGATTTGGAGAAACAGCTGGAAGCTTTTTTGTTTTCATTAAAATTAGAACAGAGTACAAAAAGCCAAAACATTAAATTTACAATAAATTGTTGTTTATCATTGCACAATTTAATAGTCTCAACCACATCAGCAAAGGATTTTTGTAAAATGTTTAAATGGTTTCCTTACAAAAACACTAAAACAGATCAAGCTAAAAAACCCTTCACAGCAGTATTTTTCCTTAGTGCCTTCTACCAAAAGAGTTGAAATATATTCATCAGTTACAATTTGAAGTTTGAGTGGGTAATCCTGCTTGTTACAGGGACTGGTAAGTGACAGTGCTGGGGATCTTGCACCGCACTGAAAAACTGAATGACACTTACAGCCAGTATCAAAAAAGTGACTGAGTTTTCAGAGCAGTTAATTCCTGCGATGCCAATGAGGGGAGCTCAGTTCTTTTGAAACCAGGCATTTTTGGCTATGCACAGGAAATGCTGGCTACAGACTCATGCACCTCAGGCATGTACCTCCCCGAGATCCCAAAGCTGAGGGCCTGCAGAGAGCTGTCACACTGTGTGACTTGCTCTTCATACAGAGCGACACGTTGCTAAGAGAAACAGAACGGGAGAGAGGCACAGGCAGGATGGGACAAGGAAGACACCGAGTGGCAGAAAGGAGCAGGAGCCACTGATTTGTCTCAGAAGAGACCCCAAGTAGGTGAATTAATTGCATCCGGGCTTTCTTGGTCCTGTACCTTGGCTTTCAATGGACAGACCAACCCCACCCCCAACACACTGTGCCCATGGTCAGATCTCTCTACTGTAGTCCCAAACCGACAAGACTCTGACCCACTGAAGAAAACACCAGGAAGTGAAACTTCCTCAGAAATAACCTGCTGGTTCCCTCTGCTTTAATGGCAGAAGCAGTGGTTGCTGGAGGGTCACACTGACTTCTGAGTGGAAAATATTAGTTCTTGTTGAATAATCTGTTCTTGATCGCTGAGGGTGCAGAAACAGTTAAAGTAGTAACCACCATGAAAAAGAACATAAGGCTCAGATCTCCTGCCGATTATGCAACTGAGAGCCCACAAGGAGCTCCAGAGATCAAACCAGTGGGCAGAAGCAAGGAATCAATCTATTACATTTTATAACTGACCCATCACTCCAACCAATGCTCCGTAAAGCAGCATCCAAGCAGAGCTCTGTAGCTCACCCACAGACCCTGCAGCCACACACCTCTGCTCTGCAGCAATGCATCAGCATATGCACTACTTGAAATCACAGGGCTGGAAAGAAAATCAGAGAGGAACTTTTATTTAAAATTCCTTCAAAACCCTACAAGAAGTAAAAGTTGTTCCTCTGTCAAACATAACACTTCTTTTGATATATATTAGTTCATCCCAGATATTAGCTTGTTATTCCTCTGTTGTGTTGGCAGAGGAAAAGCTATTATCTGTCAGGTGAAACCTAGTAAATTGTTCAAAGATAACATAATGATGCACTTAATGGTAATCTACATTCTACACTTGACACAGAATGCCACATTAATCACAATTTCTTTTACTCAGTATGCAGAGACCTGGAGGCAAAACAAGGAGGGTCAGGAAAGTATTCCCTGCTTTATTGCCACAGCTGTGCTGAGTGGATTTCCAAGAAAATTCACGGGACAAACCAGACAGCATTGGCTTGGGCTTTCCTCTCACCAGAGCAGGACGGTCTGGACTGGTCCCTTCACTTTGCTCAGTCATGAATTATACATAATATAATATAGAGTTATATTTTAAAATTTTGGATAATTTCTTCTTCAGCTGTTCGAAATGCCATTATATTTGTTGTATAAGCAAGCTGTTGGTCACAGTTCAGTATCAACAAACCTACATGATTTCATGAC